GGGAGGCACCTAGGGAGAAGCAGACTCCCCACCCAGCAAGGAGCTCGATGCCAGACTTGATTCCAGGACCCTTGGGATCATGACCTGAGTCGACGGCAGATGCTTAACCGACTGAGCCACCCAGGCGTCCAGGGTAGATTGTTTCTTAATGGTGTTCCATAAGTCCTGTAGGCTTTCTTCATTCCTTTTCATTCTTTCTTTGTTTCTCTGGGTAATTTCATACCATCTGCCTTTAAGCTCATGGATTCTTCCTACTGTTCATTCCAGTCTGCTGCTGAAGCTCTCTACTGAATTCTTCGGTTTAAAAGTTGTATTCTTCAGCTCCAACATTTGTTTGGTTCTTTTTTATGTCTTCCCTTTGTTGAACTCATTTTGTTCTTGTGTTTTTCTGATTTTGTTAAACTGTTTTCTTGTAGTTCTCTGAGCATCTTCCAGAACAACTGTTTTGAATTCTTCATCAGGCAATTCATGTTATCTCCATTTCTTTGGGGGGTCAGCTACTGGAAGTCTACGGTGTTCCTTTGGTGGTGTTGTGTTCCCCAGTTCTTTGTGATCCCTGTCACTTGTATAGGTGTATGTGCGTTTGAAGAAGCAGTCACCTCCTTGACTTTATGGACTGGCTTCAGTAAGGAAAGACCGTCACCTGTGAATAGGGGCTGCTGGAGCGTGCTGTGTCTCCAAGACTAGTAGTGCAGGGTACCAAGTGTGGGGGGTGTGGCAGCTCCAGGTCTGATGCTGCAGTAGTTCAGGCCACTGAGGTCCACAGCATCAACTGTATGGTCCTTGGCAAGCACTGGGGGGCGGGCGGTTTCATCTGCACTGGCTTCAAGGGCCGTTGGGATCCTCGGTGATAACTTCAGGTCCAGTAGCTAGGGACCGGGGCAGGCAGCAGCGGTGGCCAAGCTAGGTGTGTGCACGTACTTGGCTGTGAAAGCCAGCTGCAGGTGTTGGTGTCATGGTCGGGGCTGGGGCCAGAGCCAGCAACAAGGGTTTGGGCCAACTGCAGGCCCAGAAGCATGCAGCTGGGGCACCCCGGCTGTTGGTGTGCACTTCTCTGGCTGCAGGATCGACCAGTGATTCGAGTCAGGCTGGTGGCCTGTGAGTGCACAGCTGGAGTGGCTAGGGGCAAGTGTGCGAGTGGCACTGGGGGTCAGCTATGGCATGGGGGCGGGTGGGGGGGAAGTTCGGTCTGGCATCTTGCACTCGTGGAGCTACAGATCCCGGGCTCTGGCAGGGGCACTGGGAGGGAGCAGAGAAGAACTCAGGCATCTGGCACTGGGGCAAAGAATGAAATCTGCAGGGGGCCCACGTGGGTGAGCCGCAGGGGTGCAAGCCGCCGGGGTCCTCTGCAGAGCAGGTCACTGGCAACCGTGGCTGCTACCGACAGCCCTCGACCCTCTGCCTTGTTCTGAGCCGTCTCTAAGGTCTCAGCGTTGCCGGCCTCCGGGTGCGGTAAAGCTGAAGCGGGTCCTTTGTGTTGTGCCTCCAAAGCCTGGGGAGACCAGTCCTTCCCTCCACTCTCCCTTCCCGGGTGAGGAGAACTCTTCCTAGCTGGGGGGTCCTCACGGTGCTGAGCAGTGCCGGCCTAAGAGGATGGGAGAGTGCAGGCAAAACGAAGCTGTTTCTTCTTCCCTTTTTTGGCGGTTATCCTCAGGTTTTTCTGTCCCATTGTGTTGACGTTCTTAAGTGGACTCCTGATCTCTCTTGGAGCTGATTTTGTGGATAGCTGTCTAATGCTGTCCAAGTGGATCTTTGTGGGGGGAGGCTGGGCTCTTCCACTTCACCAGCTTGGTAACGTCATGTGAAAAGGGCTCTAGGAGTTATGAAACTCCCTCCCAGACAGAAAGGGATTTAGCAGGATCATATGACCATCCTTCGGGGATTTTGCAAAAACGGATCTCGCAGTGCATAGACTGAACATCCGAGTACTTTAGAAAGTCCTGGGGACAGAACTGACTCATCATTTGTCCCTTCCACAAGCACTCCTATGTGCCGGGCCTGGGACACACTAAAGGCAGCCCTGTCCTCGGGAGGTCTCAGCCCAAGAAAGAAGACAAGTAAGGATAACATATAGAGAAACGTGATCAATATCAAAAGAAAGGTTAGGACAGAGAACGACAAGAGCCGAGTGTGTCTGCACATGCCCAGGGATGGGAAGGGGCTTAGAGAAGGCTCCCAGCAGAGAGGTGCTACAGCGCCCCCTACAGGACAACCGGGCTGAGCCCGACAGACTTGCAGAGCCGGTGGGGGTGCAATGCAAGTGAGGAAAACACAGTCCATGCAAAGGCACAGAAGCAATGGGAAAGCAGGTGGCATTCGGAAAAACGTGAGTGTCACAGAAAAGCACCATTCTCCCCTGCAAACGGGCATAATACGTACTATAGGGTATGTGATGTACATTTATGGCCATGGAAACAATGACTTCTGGAAAAGGGAATAATGTGGGAGACTTACTCTGAATTACTCATATTACAAAAAACAAATTCTATGTAAGACGATTTGAGGGCCCCCCACCCAACATACAGACATCAGCATTTTACTTGATGCTGTGCTGGCCGTCCTGGTGCCCCTGCTGCAGGCACAGGGGTCCCCGGGGCCGTCCCGGCACTGCCGGCACAATTAGCCACATGCTCTGAAAATATGGTATGAAAGATGTGCATTTTGCTTTCTCAGTACCTGCCAGAAAACTTTATATAATTGCAAGATAAGAAAAAACATAACCATCTTGGCTTTGTATCAGTATCTTTTAAGAAGATCTCAATGGTATGGTGATTATATAAAATTAAATTCTTTTCAGAGATGCATCCCGGACTAGTTTGGGGTGCAATGACAAATGCCTTGGATGTTTCCAAGTACTACAGCATTGAAAAGTGGGGCAAAGGTAGAGCAAAGACACGCACAGGTTCCCTGACCACACTATCGTCTTCTCACAGTAAGCCGTATTTTCTTGCCTGAGAGGGTGATGGCTGATACTCAGTCACAGGTCTTCCTCAATCTGCTGGATGTCCTCACAGAAATCCCTCTCAAAGTCTAAAAACAACTCCTTGAAGAATTTAATATAATTGGGAAGTAACCAAGCAACAACTGGGACAAACTCCGATTATATGTATATATGAACAGGTAGAATGATTAGGAAAGAGACTCACTTTACAACTGGCACATAAAAAAAAGATTAATAATTCACAGGTGTTTTAAGGTCCCTCTAAATCAGGATCATGACCTGAGCCAAAGGCAGATGCTTAACCGACTGAGTCACCCAGGTGCCCCAAGTTTCTAATTTTAACACCAGATTCTTCATCACTCTGAATAATACTGATCTGCTAGGAATCCATGTTCCTTAAGATTTCATAAGTCACAAAAAAATAGGTTTTTAATAAAACAGATTCATTCTAAACTGTGACGTTCTTATTTTCACTAAATGCTGGACTTGTAAAAGAACAATTTCAAGTTTAAATGGAGCTTAGAATATTTTTCTAGGAAGACCGAAAAAATATTTTACTAGAAATGTGAATTAAGAGTATCCTGAAAACCTAGTAAGTTGTGGGAAATGTATACATAACATTTATTAGACTATGATATAATAACATATATTTGGGTTTTGCCCCCGATTCCTGGCAAGGAGCTCCTAAAACCCTTGAAATTTCCTGTGATGGGGTGTGTTCTGTTAGTCACAAAACATCCCCTCTGGGCACGCTGGGGTTTATGCTCATGAGGTGCTTTAGGGTGGGGCCCCTTGAGCCTCATGATGGGACTGGTCACCAGAAAGACCAAATCATTAGAGGGGCTGGAACACGATTTGATGAGTCTCCAGGTTGGTGAACAAGAACACATCCTTGGCTAGGAGGATGGTGCACCCCAGACTCCAGGGGGACAGGGGCTCCTAGACTCGGGACCCTTCCAGCCTGGGCCCTATGTATCTTTGCATCTGGCTGTTTGTATCCTTTGCAATAAATGAGCATTCTAGCAAGTAAATGGTTTTTCTCAGTTCTGTGAGCCATTCTAGCAAATGAATCAAACCCAAGTAAGGGGTCCTGGGAATCTCAGATTTGAAGCTGGTCGGTCAGAAGCACAGGTAACCTGCTTGCTCCTGGCGCTGAAGTGTGCGTGTGCGTTGAGGGGCAGGGCAGACCACGCCCGGAACCTGTGGGATCTGAGTTATCTCCAGGTGGATGATAATGGGAACGGAATTCGCCACCCCGCTAGGATCTCTGCAGAACCAGAGAATTGGTTGAGGGTGTTGGAAAACACTCCACTGACCAACACTGAATTATCTTCCTTCTTCCTTTCTCCCGAAGGCCTTTATTAAGAACCACCATGGTTTGGTTCTCCAGCAACTTTTATTGGTCAAAGGATGTGGAATTATATGCAGTACCTGTGGTTTAATGAATAGGCTCATTTATAAACCAACTTAACATCTTATTTTAAAAATTCTTGCTTTTGAATAAACCGATGTGGTAGAACAGACATGCTCCTATCCCATGCAAAAAGCTGTTCAAGAGTGAGCAGCCTGCAAAACTATCATAAATGAGACATTGAATCGAATGTTCTTCCAGCCAGGTCCCAGAAGTAGTTCAGTCTGAGAATTTGCTTCATATTCTGACTTTTCAAAATAAAATATCCATGGCATTAAAACAAGCAAAATTAAAATACCCCAAGCAGATACATACTGATATTTTTATCCAAGTCACTTTCCAGAGTCTGTGGTGCCACTGTGCTCTGATTAAATCAAACAACAAAAGCAGTGGGCGGCTTCTAACTGAAAGGCAATGAGATCTACCAATCAGTCTGCAGCTAAAAGTCACAGTGAAAGAACATACAGAAGGTGAAGAATGCTTTTTAACCTTCTGGCCTTAAATAATACTGCATTTCAACTTTAAAGAAAAGTTCTATTATATGTTTTTTTGCATTGACATTTTAAAATATTAGAACAAGTCTTTGTGATACAATGTATATTATACTTCAATACACACCTTGGGTGAATGAAAAACATGTCAACTTGATAACTGTGGTAAGGCATTTAAGTATTCAGCGAAAGCGATACAGAAATTTCTTAATGAGTGGTATTCCTTTAATATGAACTTGGTTTAGTGGGTTTCCTTAAAATGAACACAAAACAATAAAAGACTTAAAAAAGAGGCTGTGACATCATACACTGAATCCCGGGAAAAGCACAGTAACAAACAACATTTTCCAGCAGGGAGACCAGATAGAGCAACCAGAAACAGGTGAGCAGCCTCAAATTACACCGTCCATCACATTTACGAAGAGCTGAAAGCAGAACCGATTTCCTAGTAAGTCTGGGTGAAGACAACAGAATCCTTAGTGCCGATCACAGTGGCCAAAACACGGCAGGTACTCAGGCTACGCTTCCTGAATTGATCTGGATGAAGATACTTTAAAATCACCAGAGTGCTGGACAGTGTGAAGTTCATGGAAAAACTCCATTTTTCATTTCCGTATGTGAGTAACTACTGATCTCGTATTTCAAGGGTGGATTACGTAAACACTTTGTGGACTGTGGTAAACGGCATGAAGTGAGCGCCGCACTGGCCCTCAATGCCAGAGTCTTTGACTATCAGGTCCTAAATAATACGCACTGTGCAAGGTACCCGACATGATGATCAAAGTACACCTCACCAGTGACAGATTTCAGTTCGTATGATCAAAAAACACAAAATTTTAGACTGCATTTAGAGCAACATTCTACCATATCCTACATCAGATACCATGCTGTGGAGACAGACCGCACGAGAGGATGTCTACAACACACAGGATTGGAACCAAGAGTGAAAGGGAAATATGAAACAGAAAATTCTTACATACATGTATACACCTAATGGTACTGTCCGTTTATTGAGATTTATTATTATATGATTTGCTGTGCCACATCTATGAGCTTACATAACACGCCGAATTATTTTTCTTCGCACAAATATCTACTTCTGTATAAAGTAGAAAAAGATGGTGGTAAAAAACTTCTTCAAGGTCCGACAATTGTGTCCCAAATACCGCTGTATGAACACCTAAAAAATATAAAGAGCGATTTAGAAATATGCGTAACTATAACAGTACAGACAAACACAGCTTCAAGTCCCACAGGGACTTAGTGAACGTAACTTCCAACTTTACTTAAACTTACCTACCCCTGTTAGATAATATGGTAGGAACATAAAGAAGTCCACTGTGGTAAATGGGAAAAAGGAAGCTTTAGAAAGGTAAAATCTCCATTTGGGAATTTTATATATAAGCCTTCTATTTTAGCAACACATTTAGACTTCAATTTACCCAAGAAAGTCTCCTGATGGATACAAAGACAGAAAAATCTCTATCCCAATTACTCCCACCACCTACCACTCTTGCTTTCTTTCTGACCAAGAGCCTAAGGCTTTCCTATAGTTTAAATTCTTTCAAGCAGAACATCTTCTTTAATTGGCAGGGTTTAATCTACCATTTCCTATTTGCGCGGTTCTTTCCCCCTCCTTCCCTCCTTCTGCCTGCTTTTTGATTATTTAGATTAATTATGTGTTTATCCCATTTAAATTCCAAATTTAAATTTGGCTTATTAGCCAAAACTCTTTGTCATATTATTTTAGTGTTTGCTTTAGGACTTTTTTCTTAATAAGATTTTGGCTTTCTTTGAGCAGTTTTAGGTTCACAGCACAAGTGAGGGAAAAGTCTATAGATTTCCCATATGCCCCCTGACCTCACAGACGCAGAGCCTCCCCCATTACCGACATCCCGGACCAGAGAGCTACATCTGTTACGTACACTGACACAACATCATCACCCAAAGTCCACTATTTACATTGCGGTTCACCCCTGCTGCTGTACACTGTATGGGTTTGGACAAATATATAATGACATGTATCCATCATTACGGTATTATACAGAGTATTTTCGCTGCCCCAAATATTGTCCATGCTCTATTCATCCCTCCCATCCCCAACCCCTGACAACCACTGATCTTTTTATTATTGTCATATTTTGCCTTTTCCAGAATGTGATAGCGTTGGAATCATACAGTATGTAGCCTTTTCTTTAGACTGGTGTCATTCACTTAGTAATATGCATGGAAAGTTCCTCTCCACTTTTTCATGGCTTGATAACTCATTTCTTTTTAAGCACCGAATAATAGTCCATTGTTTGGATGTACGCAGTTTAGTTATCCATTTGCTGAAGGCCATTTTACTTGTTTACAAGTTTTGGTAATTACGAATAAAGCTGCTATAAACATCCATGTGCAGATTTTTGTGTTTTTTCTTTCTTCTTTTTAAGTAGGCTCCACGCCCAACGTGGGGCTTGAACTCATGACCTTGAGAGTCAGAGTCACATGCTCTACCGGCTGAGCCAGCCAGGGGCCCCAGATTTTCGTGTTTTCACCTCCTTTGGGTAAATACCAAGGGAGTGGGACTGCTGGACCATATTTACAGATATGTTTACTTTGTAAGAGGCTGCCATACTGTCTTCCAAAGTGGCCGTACCATTTTGCATTCCCACCAGCGATGACTAACAGTTCTGACTGCTCCACATTCTTGCTAGCATTTGGTGTTGTCAGCGTCTTGTATTTTGGCCGTACTAATTAGTATGTTGTAGTGGTATCTCATTGTTTTAATTTGCATTTCCCTGACGACATATGTATGCTGTGCAGTATCTTTTCATATACTTACTGTCTTCTTTGGTGAAGTGTTTGGTATAGTCTTTGGCCCATTTTTAAATTGGGTTGTTTTCGTATTATTAAGTTTGAAGGGTTCTTTGTCTATCTGGTAACAATCCTTAACTACATGCCTTTTAGAAATATTTTCTCCCAGGCTGTGGCATCTCTTGTTGTCTTTCCTCGAGAAGTTTTAGAATGGAGTCCAGCTTATCAACTATGTCTTTCATGGACCTTTGCTGTTGTATCTAAAAAGTCTAGGATTTTTTCCTATGTTACCTTGCAGGAGTTTTATAGTTTTATGTTTTACATTTGGGTCTATGATCCATTTCGAGTTAATTTTTGTGAAGGGTGTAAGGTTGGTCTAGATTCATATTTTTGCATGTGGATGTCCAGTTGTTCCAGCACCTTTCGTGGAAAAGACTGTCTTTGCTCCTTCACCAAAGATCAGCTGACTATACTTATGTAGGTCTATTTCTGGGCTCTCTCCCCCATCCCCCTGATCTCTGTGTCTCTTCTTTCATCAACACCAAAGTGTCTTGACTACCATAGCTGGACAGTGTCTTGAACTCCAGCAGCCACAGTCCTCCAACTTTGTTCTTCTCCTCCAATCCTGCGTTGGCCATTCGGGGCGTTCTGCCACCCCATATAAACTCGAGAATCAGTTTGGTCTTCCTCATACAGATCTCGTACGTATTTTGGCAGAATTATACCAAAGTATTTTCTTTTCTTGAATGCTAAAGAGTATTGTTTTTATTTCAAACTGCACTTGTTCATCAGTGATATATGGAAAAGTGACTGACTCTGTCTACTAACCTTGTATCCTGCTACATAACCATGCTGTATGGGCGCCTGGGTGGCTCAGTCGGTTAAGCGACTGCCTTTGGCTCGGGTCATGATCCCAGAGTCCCGGGATCGAGTCCCGCATCGGGCTCCCTGCTCGGAGAGGAGGCTGCTTCTCCCTCTGACCCTCCCCCCCTCTCATGTACTCTCTCTCTCTCAAATAAATCAATCTTTAAAACAAAAACAAAAAAACAAAAAACCATGCTGTATAAGTGCTTAGGTAGGAGTCTGTGGATTCTTTTAGATTTTCTACATTATAGATGAGCATGTCATCTGTGAACAAAGACAGTTAATTTTTTCCTTCCCATCTGTATACCTTTTGTTTCCTTTTCTTATCTTACTGCATTAGCTAGAACTTCCAGGATGATGTTGAAAAGGAGTGGTGGCGGGGGGGGGACATCCTCACCTTGTTCCTTTTAATAGTGGGAAAACTTCAAGTTTGATGATGTTAGTGGTAGTTTTCTGTAGATATTCTTTACCCAGCTTAGGAAATTCCTCTCTATTCCTAGTTTACTGAGAATTTTCATCATGAATGGGTGTTAGATTTTGTCAAATGATTTTTCTCTTGATAGGATCCTATGATTTTTCTTCTTTAGCCCATTGATGTGATGGATTACATGAACTGAGTCTGGAATGTTGAACCAGCCTTGCATACCTGGGATAAATCCCACTTGGAAGTGGTTTATAATTCTTTTTGTACATTGCTGGATTTGATTTGCTAATATTTATTGACGATTTTTGCATCTACATTCACGAGAGATATTGGGCTGTAGTTTTCTTGTAATGTTTTTGGTTTTGGAATTAGGGTAATGCTGGCCTCACAGAATGAGATAGGAAGTATTCCATCTGCTTCTCTCCTGTGAAAGAGACTGTAGAGAAATAGTATAATTTCTTCCTTAAATGTTGGGTAGAATTCAGCAGAGAACCCATCTGGGCTCGGTACTTTCTCTTTTGGAAGATTATTAATTATTGGTTCGATTTCTTTAATAGATGTAAGACCTATTCAAATTGTCTATTCTTTTCTTGAATTTTGGCAAATCATGTCTTTTAAGGAATTGGTCTGTTTCATCTGTTATCAAGTTTGTGGGCACAGAGTTTTTCATAGTGTTCCTTCGTTATCCTTTTAATGTCCATAGGATCTGCAGTGATGTCCCCTCTTTCATTTCAGATATTAGTAATTTATGTCCCCCCCTTTTTCTTAATTAGCCTGGTTATAGGCTTGTTGATTTTATTGATCTTTCCAAAGAATCAGCTTTGATTTTGTTGATTTTTCTCTATTGACTTTCTGGTTTTAATTTCATTAATTTCTGCTATAATTCTTATTATTTCTTCTGCCTACTTTGGATTTAGTTTGCTCTTCGTTTTCTAGTTTCCTATGGTGGACAACTTAGATGACTGATTTTAGATCTTTCTTCTTTTCTAAGTATGCATTCAATGCTATAAATTTCCCCCTAAGCACCGCTTACATGGCATCCCCCCACATTTTGATAAGTTGTGTTTTGAATTACATTTAGTTCAAATGAAACTCTGTTGTTTAACCTCCACATATTTTGGATTTTCCAGTTATCTGTTATTGACTTCTAGTTTAATTCCACTGTGGTCTGTATAATTTCTATTCTTTTAAATTTGTTAAACTGTTTTATAGCTTGGAATGTGTATTCCACTGTTGTTGAAATATCTAATTTTAATTATACCATCACCTCTGGGTTTCGTAATGTAGCTGCAAAAGCAATGACAAGCTGTATAGTTAAGCAGGTGTAGAACTCCCGAGCAGTGAACAAGTTTAAGGTAAGAGGGCCAGCACAGACGCTGTGGTGAGAGCACCTACCTGTACACTCCGGCGCTGCTCCTAACAGCCACATTCCTGAGCACTTGGGGCCTGTGCGCGACGTGGTGACCGCAGCTGTCTCAAGGCAGCATCCCCATACTGAATACCAGAGCCCATTCTTTCTGGGTCCAGCTCACCTGAGGACCAAGCAAGTCTCCTTTAAAAAAAGCTTTTATGTTTCTGTGATCCCAAAAATATATTAAGTGAAAAAAGCAAAGTGCAGAGCACTGTGTATAAACAGCTGGTTTGAATAATAAGGAAAAAATATATACATGTTTTCTTGTATGGGCATAAAAATATCTTTGGAAGGAGACGAACAGAAGTGAGAATAAGTGCGCCTGGGTGGCTCAGTCGGTTAAGCATCTGCCTTCGGCTCAGGTCCTGATCCCAGGGTCCTGGGATCGAGCCCCGCATTGGGCTCCTTGCTCAGTGGGGAGCCTGCTTCTCTCTCTGCCCCTATCTCCTGCTCTGCTCTCTCTCTCTCTCTCTCTCAAGTAAATAAATAAATAAAATATTTTAAAAAATGTGAGAATAATAGCTGACTTCAAGAAGGAGTTTTAGATGGCTTGGGGACAGGAGAGGGTTTGTAATGGAGGGAGACTTTCACTGTATCCGCTTTTTATTTTTTGAATTTGGAATTATATGAATATATTGTGCATACAAAGATAAATTAATTTAAAATTAAGCTACAAAGAGACCATTTCCTACTTACCAGACGGGTAAGAATCCAAGTATGATAATATACCCTGTGGGCATGGCTTCAGTGAAATAAGCACTTTCATTCATTACAGTGGGATTATAAATTGCTACAACCATGCTAGAAGGAATCTGACAGCCTCTACCTAAATTCCAAATGCTTATGTTCTTTCACCTAGCAATTCTACTTCTGGGAACTTATCCTATACATACACCCCACACATGGGAAATGATATATAAAAGGTTACTTACTGCAATATTATTTGTGACAGCAAAATGCTGGCAATACTCCAAATGTCCCAAGTAGACTGGTTAAATTACAGCAATACAGACAACTGAATATTACACACACACACACACACACACACAACATGTATGTGTATTAGCATACATATATACATGGAAGTCTCTATATGTTCATTTGTAATGATCCATAGGTCTAGTAAGTACATAAAGCAAGGTACAGAATTTATAGTATGTTAACTTTTGTGTAAAAAAAGAGGAGGAGGGGGGCCTGGGTGTCTCATCGGGTTAAGTGACCCACTCTTTTTTTTTTTTTTAAAGATTTTATTCATTTATTCATGAGAGACAGAGAGAGAGAGAGAGAGAAGCAGAGGGAGAAGCAGGCTCCCAAGGAGCAGGGAGCCCGATATGGGACTCGATCCCAGGACCCTGGGATCATGACCTCAGCTGAAGGCAGACGCTTAACCATCTGAGCCACCCAGGCGCCCATAAGTGACCCACTCTTGATTTCAGCTCAGGTCATGTTTTCAGGGTGGTGAGATGGAGCCTCGCAACAGGCTCCACCCTCAGCAGGGAGTCTGCCTCCCTCCTCCTCCCTGGGCCCCTTCGGAGGCTCACACGTGTGCATACTCTCTCTCTAATAAATAAATACATCTTTAAAAAAAAAGAGGAGGAAACAGCGGTTTTTGAATCATATGAATGTACAGCCTATTCCGAAAATTTGAAGTACTGCTGAAAAATTTTAACTTATATCTTTGTATTTTTTCACCTAGATGTAATTATGATTTTGATGATCTCAGAAGAAACGTATCTTGAAAATGTTCTGAGTCGACTTGTATGGACTATAACCATGGACGCAGTATTAAGGTAGCAAGGTGATTAAATAAAACCTCGTGCTAAGCTTAATAATACTCAACACCAAGCCAATTTTAATAACAATGTTACAGAGTCTTTAAGAGTAACAGTTGTTTTTGTGACAAATTTAGTAAAAAATTTTTTTGTTTGTTTTCAGAGCGAGACAATCCAGAAGGATGAAGTGTCCCTCTCTTCCACCCGGGCCCTTGACCCTCTCTCTCTCTCTCTCTCTGCACCTCACCCAGCACCCTACTGTCTCTGTCATCTCTCCACCCTCCTCTCCTTTCCCTTCCCTTGTTTCCTCTCAGCATTCACACAGGCTAACTTTTCTTCCATCGCCAAAACCTCTTTACGTTAACCCTTGGGACCCTACTATACCTTTTCTTTTCAAGAGAGGAGTCAACACTCACTCTACTTTCTCACCTCCTCTTCGTTCCTCAATTGCTGTCTTCTGTTCTGATAATTCTACCGGAGCTGTTCTTGATAAAGATGCCCAGTGACTTCCTATTACCCACCCCAGTGGATGTTTTTTAGCTTAGTTCTTAGCTTAGGAGACTATTCTCTATTGCATTTGATAGTGAACAAGTCTTTGACTCTCATCCTTTTGGCTGAAATGATGCCCACTTTCCCCTGGTTCCTTCCATACATCTCTGATCATTTCCCTCTCTTTCTCTTTTCTAGGTTCCTCTTCTCCATCTCTCAGTCTCCAAGGTTCTGCTTTTGATCACTGCTTTTCTCACTCTCAACTGCTCTCGGGTGATCACATTCCTTTCATAGTTTCAACTACTCCTATGTACTGATGGCTTCCAAACGTATACCGCCAGCCCAGACTTCTCCCCAGAGCTTATGAGATAATCCCATGGGCTTGTGCCAGTGGTACTGCAAAGGGAACACCTCCAGGACAGAATCATCTACATGCCCCGGAACCTGCTTATCCTCTGGTTTAATGACATCTCTTTCCCAAGTTACCCAAGTGCGACATCTAGTTACCCTTGGCTCCTCATGCCTTCCTGACCCCACCTCCTCACTGCTACTCCCCACCCCCAAATCAACTGCCCTGCCCCATTTAGCACATGAGTCATATGGTGCTAGTACCAAAATATTTCTTGGATTCATCTATATCTCTTCGTCTCTACTTCCACATCCTCCTTAAAGCTTTAATCAGTCATCTTTTACTTGGATTACTCAAAAATGCCTTAATTGGCACCCTGGTCTCCCATCCTTTCAATCTGTCCTCAACATGACACCTACAGACATGATTTATCTCAAGTCCCAACCTGACCATATCGCTCACTGCTTACCACCCTTGAATAGCTTCCTGTCCTCTACAATCAATCACATAAGAGTGCTTTTGGAAATGCTGATGCCCAAACCATACTTAAGCCCAATTAATCAGCATCTCGAGAGGTGGGGCCTGGGATCTGAATTTTCCTGCATCCAAGGTGACTGTAGTGTACAGCCAGGGTTGAGACTCAGTAACCCGTAAGATAAAGTTCCAGATCCTTGATGAGAATCACTAGCCCGGCTGCCGCCTCTCTCCAACCTTCTCACCTGCCATCCCACCGTAGTCTCTCTGGTCTCGTGATTTTTACTTTCTGGTTACTTCCAAATCATGCTGTCCCCTCTGCTGGACCACCCTCCTCCCCACTCCCTTAGCCAGTTCACTCTTCCTCACACCGTGAAAGACTGAGCTCGGCTGTCACCTCCTCTTGGAACCCTCTCAGACACTACGTCCATGACCTAGCTAGGCAGGTTCCCCTTCTCTGTGTGATCCCAGGATCCTATGCACCCTTCAGTTATTGTATCCACCACACCGTAATGTAATTATTTTTTGCTGGCTCCCATGAAAGAGGTTCTTGAGGGCAGGGGTTATGATTAAATCATTTTTGTATCCCAGCACCTGACAAAGAACAGACATTCAGATATTTGAGTGAATCAATTAAAAAGTGATTGTCCACATAGAATTTTGGTAATCTTTAACTCAACTTTATTTTTTTTTAAAGATTTTATTTATTTAGTTACTTGACAGAGAGAGCACAAGAGGGGGGAGCAACAGGGAGAGGGAGAAGCAGGCTTCCCGCTGAGCAAGGAGCCTGAGGCGGGGCTCGATCCCAGGACCCTGGGATCGTGACCTGAGGTGAAGGCAGCTGCCTAACTGACTGAGCCACCCAGGAGCCCCAAAACTCAACCTTACTAAACACAATTACAGAGTATTTTGTCAGCTGCCTAAATTAGGATTATTTTAAATTCATTTTTACTGAAGCAACAAATACAACAATGAGACCGGTTACTACTGAGGCACACTCAGTTGGCTTCAGGAATAAATTCTCCATGATGCCCAAGCTGCAAGTATCAACATCACGCATGTATCTCTAACTCCCTTAATCTCATACAGGCGGTCCCCCATCATGCCACGGGACCACTGGCCCAGCAGGGCTAGCAAGGTGTTGGCAGAGACTGGACAAAGATCCAATCTTCCTCCTCTAAGCCGTGGACCACAAAAGGCCGTGGTTCTAAAAGCAAACTGTCGCTGAAACCCTGACTGCCCACCCTCTTTCACCAGTGGTGCAACGAAGCCACTCCGAAAAAGCGGGGCCTTTGCCTCAGCCACGGGGGCAAGGCCTTCAAAACCGTAAGTGGCAATTTTAGGTTGGCAGGGGTAGAGAGAATGCTCTTTGACCAAATCACTCCTGGAAAATTAAAAAGTGGTACTACTGAGCTAGAGAGTAAAATATGCTGAAGACAAGTTTATGAATGGAAAGCCTTTTACCTGATTCAATTTTGTTAAGTATTTTTCTCGCACACTGTACAAAGGCCTCTTCCACATTCTCCCCCGTTAGTGCACTTGTTTCCAAAAACATCAGCTCTAAAAGTGACAGCAAACAAAATGCGAAGCTACGTTTAGAAGGCGATCACAACTGAGGTACCGACAGCCTGCTGAGGATTTTCTCCGAAGAGCAGGCAAAATGGAATCTGTTACTTAAAAACCACATATTTCTGCGAATACAGAATCAATAAATGTCAATATATTTTGTTAAATGCTAGAAGAACTCTCAGCCTTCCTCAACAGTGTCGGGTATCTTGTGCTGGCGCTTGTCTGTCGAAGATGCACAGTGAGGAAGCAGGCTGCCTGAAGCTGCCCGGCTGTCGACATGAGATGAATATTCTCCCAACACTCTTCGTGTCACCACAGATACCACGGCGGGGGGGGGCGGGGAACTACACTGCAACTTGTCATCCTGCCGGTGACGAGGTCCTCCCTGGACTCCTACTTTTCTTACCCACCAGAGCAGATACTAACCCTTGCTTCTGTATTTACGAGCTCACGATAGCTTCTGTTCTTCTCACATGCTTATTTGCTTAGCATAAAACCAGTCAATTTGTAAGAATATAATTTGGTAGTCCTAGAGTCCAACTGAAAATCGAGACTAGGATATTTTAGTTCTTGACTGGTTCTAAAAACTACAGTTCTTTAAAATGTCTCAATTCTGATCATTCCCTTATCTGTAAACAACCATTAATTTTATGTCATTCTCTGGTTTTCTATATGGAAATTCAGAGAATTTTCAAAGGCATATAACCAAATGGCTTCAATTTAATGTAAGTAAAATAAAACCAATAAGCCCAGTATTTCTTCCACTGCTTTCCCCTTCTATTTAGAACTAATGTTTTACCAACTTAGCTCCAAATTACATTAGAAAAAAGGACAGGCCATCATGTGATTAGGGCCTTTAAAAATTATTACAAACTTAACTTTAGACCAAGGCCTGTGCTTAGACCAAAAAGTCATTAGAGAATATTAGTACATTTGCTTTTATCATCATCGTAACCTTTGCAGGCAGAATGCAATATAGTGAAAATATGCTAAGTCAGTCTAACTTTACCTAAATAAAACACTAGGAAATTTCACATTTCTTAAGTAACGTTTAATCTTAAAATTCCAATAGATGTAAATTCAAAGCAATGTTATTACCCCCCAAATCTGCCCATTTGAAAAGCAGTAGTAGGTAAAAGGTCACTTGCCATTTTCTTGCGCAAATCTGGAAGCTTCTAAGAAAGTAACTTCACGATCCGCATCTAGGTCCTTCTTGTTCCCACAGAGGATGATCACAATGTTCTGACTCGCTAGCATTCTGGCATCTGTTAACCAATTAGTAAGCGCATTGTAGGTTTCTCGGCTGCGTAATATAAGATTGCGAAAATAGTACATGTATTTTATAAAGCTAGCAACTCTTTCCAGGCATTCACACTACTCACACACTGCTTTCGCACACGTCAGGGTAACGTCGACAACCTTTAAGGTAACACAGGCAGCCTGAATGCCCCATTACGCACCATACCACAGGGTGTAATTGTTTTGTTTCCAGAAAAACGAAACCGCAAGTCAGATATTTTGCTGTTTGATTTTGCCCGATCAAGGTACAAAAGGAAGCAGACGTTCCTTTATTCATTTTACAAATATTTACTGAGCTCTTAACACTTAGCTCAATTATGTGTGGCATGCATGAGCAAGATCTAACATCTGCTGCATTTACAAGCTCTGTGCAATATGGTGGCACTTTGTCCCGGAGGAATTTATCACGTTCTTTATAAGGACTCTTGTGACACAGACTCTATCCCCCTTTTCCATGAGAAATCCGAACCCAGAGAGTTTAATTAAGTTGCCCCAAGTCACACAAGCAGCCAGCGGCAGAGGCAGGGCTTGACCCGGTCTGTCTAACCCCAGGACGCACTCTGAGATCTACTGTTTTCGGCTCGGATACATCTGGGGATACGTCTGCTCTGCCGGCACACCTGGACAGCCGAATGACTTCGCACATTAGCAAGCTGAGCCTTCCACCACCGGAGCAAGTGCGGGCGGGCTGGGCCAGGAGCTGCCCGTTTCCTCGCCAGTGTGCCTCATCCCGGACAAGCAGACTGGGTGTGCGTCTCAGCAACAGAGTGACACCCTCTCCGCCGCACAAGTTCCTACCCAGACGGCCACGGGCCAATAGGGTGGAGATGGTATTTTTAAGGTGGTGCCAGCAAACACTGAGATCGGCACTGTCTGATGGGGCTTCTGCAAGGACAAGAATGTTCTATAACCCACACTGTCCCACACAGCAACCACCAGACACACGTGGCTGCTGAGCCCTTGAGATGTGGCAGGTGAGACCGAGGAGCTAAGTTTTTAATTTAATTTGTGATATGGGGGTGGTAGCTACACACAGGACAGTGCACTCAGATTTTTATCATGTGCCAAGAGCTTTACATTAACCAATTTAACAACCTGAAAAATCTCCTAACACAGTCAGCATTACTCCACGTAACAGACAAGGAAACTGAAGTCCAGACAGCTAGAGCACCTTGCCCGAGGACATCACACGGCTAGTAACCTGGAACTGGGGTCTGAACCCAGGCAATCTGGGCACAGAGCCTGTGCCCTCAACGTTCATCAGTGTCAATTACTTCTAATAATTTACCATACGTAAACTTTCACCTTGTGAACCCTGAGGAATATGTCAAAGCATCAAAGCATCATGCTAAAAAACACTATGAAACACTAGGGATGCTTTATGTATCTAAAACCTCACCCAGAGATTTCCTTACCGGTTAAGTAGTGGTAGGGGTTGGCTCAAACACCTCTACGACCCCAAATGAAAGGACTGAGGGGATTCCAGATTCCCAGCCACACTGCCTGCCCCGACACACAAAACACACACTACACGCAGGTGCGCCTTGGGAAGACCAGACTTTGGGGAGCAGAGCCCCCAGCTGCCTCCCCCGTGGGGGAGTTCACATTACCTGGTGATGTCATAGACGAGGAGCGCTCCCGCGGCACCTCTGTAATAACTTCTCGTCACAGACCTGAAAGAATTATACTGCTTTTACTTCCAGCCAATCGAGATCCTTCACTATTGAGCACCGTCACCCATTTTTCTTTGTAAACCTTGACATGGGGACAGACGTTGCTTATAACAGAAATGACTCAGACATCTGAATGTATGTATGAGGGGCTCTTCTGTCTGATTTATGTCACAGAAATGCCGGGAAGGGGGGGGACGTTAGGCTGAGACAAATACGTCATTTCCTGACAGGTAGACGAAGCTCTCTTACGGAACTTAAGATGAGCTTTGAACGTACAGGGAGAGGCGAAGCGCCTGGGAGCTGGATGGACACGAAGTGCTCAGCAACCCTACTCTGCTTCCTCTGGGGGGGTCCAGGCCTTCCCCGCGTCCCTGCAGAGCTGTTTCCTTCTCACTCCGTGTCCCGTCCGTGTCCCCTACTCTGCAGCGCTGAGCCCAGCGGCATTTCTCGGTTCTCCTCCCTCCACCTTGCCTCGCCCCTCCCCGGACGCCTCCCTCACCCCACCTCTGCAGCCACCACCTCCTCCTCTCCCGCCAGCCAGCTCCCCTCCTCCAGCTCTGGGTCATTCGTCTGAGCCTGCCCTGTCTGTACCGGACTTCCTCAGTGCTGGGGCTCAGGCCTCGGTTTTGTTTTCTATTCACACCTGGACTCCGATGTCCTCTTCAGCTCAGCCTCCCTCTGTAAGATCCAGCTGTTGCCCCAACATCTCCATATGACTGCCAACTGAACGTGTCGCACTTCACATTCATAGGACAGCACACTCTGCTTCCCAGCCTGCAGGTCCATCCTGGTTTGGGGTGAGGTTGGGCACCACCATCCCTCTGTTTATACAGCCAGAAAGCTCTGCGTTTCTGACCCACCAGTCAGGTTCTGTCGCACTAACTGAACATATCCTACATTGTGCATGTCCTGCCATCTTCATTGGTATCATCATAATCCAAATCACCAAGTCTCTGCCTGGACCCCTGCAGTCACCTATGGCTGGTGTCCCCACTGCCATGCATGTCCCCACTACCACTTGTGTCCCTTCGGTCCATTTTCCTGAGCAACCAAACTCATCAAGACCTACAAGGCTCCCTGTGCTCAGGGGCTGGAGATTGAGTTCAATCTCCAAGGGGCAATGATTTAATCAGTCCTATTTACCTATTGAAACCTCAAAAAGAAACCCTAAATGATGGAGTTTAGAGACCTTCTGAGTTCACGAACACTTGGAGGTGCTGGGAGGGTAGTGCTTCCAAAGAGGGCATGGGAGCTCAGCACTCAATTCCTATATCCAATGCCCGATGCATCTCTTCCATTTGGCTGTTCCTGGGTTATATTCTTTATAATAAACTGGCAACAATAAATACTGTGCTTTTTCTAAGTCCTGTGAGTCACTCTAACAGATTATTGAACCTGGGGGATGGGTCATGGGAACCTGTGACTGGTGTATGAAGTGGGAGCAGGTCTGTGGGATGGGACCCCTAGTCTCTGGGGCCTGATGCTAACTCCAGAGAATCAGAACTGAGTTGAACTGTTGGCCTCAGAGTTGGTGTTGGAGAACTGGAGAGCTGGTATGGAAAATCCTGGCGCCCCCCCACCCCACCAATTTGGTGTCAGGAAATAGGCACCACAGAACACTGCCTCCCTTTAGGGCAAAAAGAGAACTGGGGACCTTATCAAAAATAAACAAAAGGACTCATTATGACTTTGATACTTTGAAAAGGGCAGCTATTTTTAAACGTATTTTTAGCTCCTGAACTCCAAAGGCAGATAGGTAGCCTGAAGCTTCCCCTTTCTACCTTTAGATTGCTCTACAGAGGGGCATATGCTTTAAGAAATGGCAGACAGGCGCCGCGTGAGCAGGATCCAATCATTAGTTCTTCCCGGGGTCACCTCTCCAAGGGGGGGGGGGAGGGCTCTTTTCCACATATGTGAAGAGACAACTCTTTTTCTGTTTTAGTTTCTAGAAACTAGCAGGTTTCTAGAGAAAGAGGTATGTAAGAGTTCTCCTCAAGAGAAACTAAATTACATCTACTACTAAGTCATTTATTTCACTGTACCTTGACATATGGTGTCTAACAAGTTATTCAACTATATAAGCTACATGCTTAAGAAAAGTACTTTTTTGAGGTATTTAATTTTCTCAAAAGTGATATAAACCAGAGTAATACAGGCATCTAGTTTGAAAAGCAAATATTGCTAACAGGCCCAGCGTGAAAGTCTGCAGTCTCCTGCCTCACTCTTCCCTGGGAGCCCCACTCCCAAGGCCTTCGGATTTGATTTTTTTCCTAAATTAAGTCATTAACGGAATACACGTAAAACATCTATGTGCTAGATTCTACCCTGGGCTTTGGAGAAGCAACAACAACAGAATACAAATGTCCCTTCTTTCATGGATCTTAGTGTTGTTTTTCTGGGTTTTGCTTCCATATTTCTATAAAATGCTTATGAAACTATTTGACTTACGAGTTTCAGGGCTTCCTGCCTTCCTGCTTTGGTAAGACTCTATCTCCCTCATACGCTCCCAGCCCCTTCCCTGCAGCTCCTCCTCCTCCTGTTGGGCAGCACCTTTGCCTGACGGCCGCCCTGTGACACCTATGTCCTGGCTCGTCTCCCCACTGGGTCCCCTGTTGGCTGGCCATCACCTTCCTCTTTCAGGGTTTACTTCCTCGTGCTGATGAAGTATATCCTCCTGAAGTTTCTAAGAAAGAATACGTGAAAAGATAACCTTTGTTTCTCCTATACTGGAATATCTAAAGGCCTTCTGACTTTATTCTCACACTTGATTGACAGTTTGGCGAAGTTTAGTATTTAGGTTGGAAAGGAATTTTTCATGCAAGGCTTCAGTATCTTGTAGCTTCCGAAAGTTGCTGTTGAACAGTATAATGCAATTCCTCTTGCTAGTCCTTCAAGGTGACTGTTTTTCTTCTTGGGATCTTTTTGTATTTTCACTTCATCCTTGCCCTCTGAAATGTCACCTGATATACACTAGCTGGAACTGTTTTCCCCATTCATTTGTGTTTGGTGTGAGGTGGGCCCAGTACATCTGGGATCTTGTTTCTTTGGTAGAAAATTACAGAGATTAGGCTGTTTTATTGGGGAAGCCAACATGTCAGTATATTTAGGCCTTTCCTTTGGAGCTATTCATTTTTGTCTCTCCTGCCTGAGAGTACATATACACCTGACTGCCAGCAACCGGGAAGAGGCGGGAGAGGGGGGCTAGGGGTTGCAGACTTGCACTAATTTCCCTCTTTTCAGTCCTTCCCTCATCCCTGCCTCTGCTGGGCCTTATGATGCATGCTGACCCTGCTTCAACTCAAGAGACTGAACTCCTCATGTGGGTGCATGCACACGCACATGGAAACCCTAACCCTCCCTCCTGCAGAACCCCATGCTTCCTCATCCTGACCTTTTCCGGGATTCAGCAGGAAGAACGGGCCTCCAGCTCGCCGGCCTTCCCCCATTATAGGCACTGAACGTGCAGCTCCCTCGGCTTTCAGTCAGTCACCATCCATTCCTTATCGCTACCATTTTTTTTTTTTTTTTGAAATCTCTTCATCATAACTACGTACTCCCCTTTTCTGGGCCTTTGTGAGTTCATGCCATTTCAGTTGTTTCAGAGTCATTTCAGTGAGGGTTTGGGGGAAGAAAACATAAGTCTGGATTGAATCCACAATGTTTAATCAGTGGTTCCAGAAGAATGATTGTGATTAAAAATTTTGAAGCAAACAATTATTGAACATTTCAAATACAATATACACCTGACTCTAATGCTATAAGTGAGAGTTTTATTTAACTAAATTTTAAGACTGTGCATATCTGTGCTATTTTGATTTTTTGTATCCTTTCAAACACCACTACTACAATATTAATCTACTTTCTTGCTTCAGTAGTTACAGAATATTAAACATGTAACCTCATCTGCAGTGGTCTGGGGTCATCATCCCAAACACTAATTATGACTGAAGTGTAATAAAAATGTACAGGAGAGAATATTTGGTGGAATGTATATCAACCATCAGAACATGCTCTAGTTAGTATAAAACAAACAAAAATGCCAAAAGAGGTTTTTAAAAATTTTCCTTTAAAAGTGAAAGACAGATAAAAACTGCTGTGCTATTACTTTGCCTTAATTTTAATCTAAAAGTATTACTGCAGGATATGCAATGCCAGGTCCTCCCAATGTACTCACTGGTCCCAAAGACTAAATTAGCCTCTACATTAGAGTGCGCTCACTCGAGAGATTCGAATGCATTCTTTAGTAAATCAATGCTGCATGGAGAAAACTTGACTTTTAGCTTGTCTTAAAGCTTCCAGAGGTGAAGTTTCTGAAATCTGTGCGGGGAGGAGGAGACTATATATATGAAGAGACTATAATTGGTTATTTCAAATCCAATTTTTAAATATTTTTATTAAATCAGAGAGAAAGCTACCTGAATCGTTCTTGGCCTGCTGTATCCCATATCTGTAACTTTACATATTTACCACCAACATTTATTATCTTTGAACCAAATTCCACTCCTATTGTATGATTTGAGTCATCTTTGACTGAAAAAGAAAAAGAACAAGATATTTATTTTAGAACATTAAAGAAACAGACTTACAGATTTAAACAAGCAAAATCAAGGGTTAAAGTCAATGGAAATGTAATTTACTGTAGCCTTTCATTTCTCCAATAGTCAGCTGATAAGAAGCACTCACTGTTTTAAACAAAATACACTTAAACACTTTAAACAAAAGTGTTTTACTTTTGTTAAAGTACACTTTAAACAAAACAAAATACACTTTAAACAAAATACATTTAAACAAAATATTCCTATTCTGAAAGAGATGATAAGGCTCTTTCACAAAACCCCTAAAGCAAACCATTCATTTTAAAGCCTAGGCTTGAAGTGGCTATGCCACATGAGAATCATATCTACCTGCCCACTGGGAGGGCACTCACACACAGGGACTGCATAAAATACCTGGGTGCCGGCCTAAAGGGCTTAGAGCCCAGTGGCAGACCTGCAACTCAGTCAGGAACGAGGTGGTGACCGTTTCCACTATTTGAATGGATAAATAGTCCAAAGAAATAAAAGGGAAGGAAAAGTACTTCCTGTAGCCCCCAAAAGAAACTTGATGGATACCAAAGATTAAGGGAAAAAGAGGAAAAGATAAACAAAATAAAACAACACCAAACAACAAAAATTCTGAGCATATGATAGCTGTTGAGTTTGCATGAATTTGAGGATTGTGTGGCAGTAATTTGGAATGAATTTGTCGGAGAAGTCAATACTATCTATTTTGGGAGGCAGGCAAAATAGGTAGCTTGCTAAACCCACCTAGAATGAACTGTCTGTGAAAAAAACACTTCTGTGGTGATGAAGAGCTGAGCTATCACCTAGTATTATGGCTACACAGCCCATGACTGACTTACACTTTATGACTGTAGGGCAGAATCTAAGTGTACTAGAAGAAATCACGAATGCCACTTGATGGTGTGTTGAGTGTTCCCTGGGGCCAGGGGTGAAGGGATGACAGGTCAATACTGACCACACCCACCTGTCTGAGATGATGTGGAACTAGTGTGGACATTCTCGAATTCAAGCTACCAAGAAACCTCAGAGTAAAAGCCTCAAAGGGTGATGGCTAAAGTCCAGGGGCATCCTGATTACAGCATGGCCACAAGACGAATAAAGTGAAGCCTTTCCCATCGTGCTGTAGACCGTGCAGACTAACCCAACACACATACCCATCTCCTTGGTGAGGAGTTAGGGGAGGACTGTCAAGGGAGAGCTTGCCACAGGGGGAGGATGCAACGAGAACCCAGGCGGGTTCTGGACCCAATATCCTTGGGGCATTTTTTTCTGAGATGCTACAATGCAGTCTTGGCAACTTGTGAAGAGACCTGGACTCCCCCAGTGAGTGAATACTTGTTACATTCAGTGAGGACTGGCTCCGTGTCACTAGACAGAGGTCCCAAAAAGCTCTTGGATAATGAACACGGAAGTAGCAGAATATATTTCTACAGTTTTATTCTTCAAAGCTCCTTGCCAAGGACTCCCTCTGCTGTTTCCCCATTTTACCCACCACCACTCAGGCGCACATGCTTACGATGCACTGCAGTTCAGTGAAGGTAAATCTGTTTTTGTGCTTTCACCCGACTGCCATGAAATAGGTCATCCTCCACAATTCTTTCCATGATTGTAAAAGCAGTTTATTTTAAGGGTCTTTCAAACTTACAAGTCTTTTACAATACTTTGGAATTAAACATTCAGTTTCCCTTACCAAAACAGTGAAAGCCAATGGCAACAAGATGGGTCTGTGGTCAAAAGACCTGGACTTGAGTCTAACCAACTCTAGGGGACCATACCGAGGGCACACACCCCCTAACTGCTCTAAAGCTGCTTCTTGAACCTGCAAAACAGAACTGATGACAATAACCACCTTCACTACAGTATAAGCCACAGAGGACCCAAGAGGACTGTTTTATCTACAATGTACTATTCGGGCTTCTTGGGCGGCTCCCTGTCAGGAAAGCAAAGTCCTCTGCGGTCTTCTGCCTCACCATGTTGTATTTCAACATCTGCAATGTACTGGAGTATCTGGAAAATGCACAGTATGATAATATATTGAACAATGAACCAACATAAAACTGAAATAACTTAATAAAAACTCAGTCGTACTGCTAGAAGTTTAATATAACAAACTTTTAATGTTACTTTAACATACTTTTAAACTATAAGTTTTTTCCTGAAATAATATTCAGAAGTTTTGCTATAAACAAATCTGAGCAAGAGAGCACTCAGGGGAAGACATGCATCAAACACTGACCATCTGATGTCACTTACATTTTTTTTCTATAAACTGATGAAGCAAGCAAGACTTGCCAGTTCCTGCATTTCCAATAACCAAGAACTTAAACAAAAAATCTGAAAAACAAAAAGAGACCATGAAAAATAACTTTAAAACATGTGCTACAAATTTATTTAGGCTATGATCAAAAAAAGTTAATAAAATCTTACTTGTTAATGTAACAGAAAAAAGAGGCAACTATTCTGTGAAAACAACAAAAAACACGTCAACTTACATTTTCACCTTTTTGATATTTGGCTTACATGCCAGTTCAGTGGTTTTCCAAACACTGCTCATGGGAAAACTTCCTTTGATGTTGGAAGTTTGAAGATTATTCTTGTAAAATTCATCCCTTTGCTAGTCACTATTCAAAGAAATATGAACAAGCAGGGACAAAAATAGTCTAGAAGTTTCAAGTTTTCTGTACAAAAGAAAAACCCTGGGAAACTTCTAGGCTTTGAGAAGTCCACGCCCTTCTTCTTTTTTTAAAATAGGTATGTTTCCCCCACTCTTGCAGATTTTTGTGGTCTTGCTTCTATTCCCTTATCTGCACCTTGAGGGAAGGACAGCTTAAGCCAAGTTTGGGTCAGTATTCAAAGTAGGAAATTTGTCTCACTCAGTGTAAAAAGAATTCTTCATTTCTTCTTTACACAGAGTAATATATTTAATTTGGAATATGATTTTCCATAAAATGGAAAGGAAGACTCTCCAGAATTTGTTAATCGAATTAGCATAATGTAGCATCAGTAGCCCCATGCTGCCTTACTGATTAAGAATGTTAGTTCTGCTGAGACCAGGAGCTGCACAGGACCCACTCCCTCCTCCACCCCTCACACTGGAATTTCTGTTTTGTTCAATATCTTCTTCTACTTAAAATATAAAGCCCAATACACTGTCAAGTTGACCCTTGAACGACTATGTGGTTTCACTTATATGTGGATTCTTTACAGTACAGTACTATAAATGTATTTTCTCTTCCTTGTGATTTTCTTTCTTTTTTAAAAAGATTTATTTACTTAAGACAGAGAGAGCGCACACTCATGAGAAGGGGCAGAGGGAAAGGTAGAGACAGAATCTCAAGCAGATTCCATGCTGAGGGTGGAGCCTGATGCAGGGCTCGACCTCACAACCCTGAGATCATGACCTGAGTCAAAACCAAGAGTTGGACGCTTAACTGACTGAGCCACCCATGTGCTCCCCCCGACCTTGTGATTTTCTTTAAAGATTTTATTTATTTGACAGAGAGCGAGCATGAGCAGGGAGGAACAGAAACAGAGGGAGAAAGAATCTGAAGCAGACTCTGTACTGAGTGTAGAGCCCTACTCAGGGCTTGATCCCACAACCACAAGATCATGACTTGAGCTGAAACCAAGAGTTGGATGCTTAACCGACTGAGCCACCCAGGTGTCCCCCTCCTTGTGATTTTCTTAATAGCATTTTCTTTTCTCTAGCTTGTTTTATTTTAAGAATATGGTATATAATACATATAATATAGAAAACACATGTTAACTGATTGTTTATGTTATCAGTAAGGCTCCAGTCAACAGTAGGATTATTAAGAGTTAAGTTTTCGGGGAGTCAGAATTTATATGTGGGTTTTCAACTGTGCTGAGGGTTGGTGCCCTTAACCCCTTTGCTGTTCAAGAGTCAACCATATAAGTTGCAAACAGAAAAAGGTGAGAGCCAAATAAAGATGCTGCCAATACGTAGGAAACAGTAAATACTGACAAAGAAAAGAATTTGTATTTGCAAATTGAAATGTTTCTTATGTACACAGAAAAATGAGTATCACAAATCTATGCGATCCTGGAACAAAAACTCATATATCTAGACATAGACTTTGGCTTGATTCTCATTCCACTGTTATTTTCTGCTTTGGAAGTTTTGCTTAAATATACTTTATTATGGTAATTGTTACCTAGATTGTACCATAGCCCCAACACGCAAAAGAGTAACATATCCACTGAACTGCACCTTGCTGGACAAAAGACAAGTAAGACATGTCATTTCCACATGTAAAAATTCCTCCAAACTTTTTTTAAAAAAGATTTATTTATTTATTTTTATTTGAGAGACAGAGCTGGGGGGGGCGAGGGAGGCAGAGAGGGAGAGAATCTCAAGCAGACTCCTTGCTGAGTGCAGAGCCTGATGAGGGGCTTGATCTCATGACCCTGAGATCATGACCTGAGCTGAAACCAAGAGTCAGATGCTTAGCCAACTGAGCCACCCAGACAACCCTCCAACAAACTCTTCATACTCTACCTCTTGTAGCTCAAACAGGTAAGTATTCATACTATAGTAGAAAACCTTTTTGTTTGAAAATCCTTTTGGGTGAAACATCTAGAAATGCTGGATAAAATATACCACATTTAAAAAAAAATGCATAGCTGAGCTTTTAGGAAAGAAAGGAAAATTCTAGATGTTTGGGAAAGAGAAGAAACAGAAAAAAGCAGTAGGGGCCCAGATGTGTCAGTATGGAGTTTTAAAACGTGTGTGGGACAGAGCATAAGAGTTTGTGTCCATGTGAAGGAGGGAGTAGAGAGCTAAATCTGAGTTCTTTTCAAGGCTCGGCCTGAAGTGAAAGGGTAGGCTGGAGGAAAAAAATCTATTCACTAGCTCAGGGAAATGAGGAGCCTTCTTTCACTCTGCCTGGCCTCTTAACAAATGGGAAAAACTTTTCCCTTTGAAGTTTAATCATGGACTCGTATAATAAGTGGGTTTGAAATTCAAATTTAAATAACTATGTGGACAATGAACCTCTAAATCAAGAAATGAGCAACAATAAAAATGAAAGTGACATGACTAGGATGCCTGGAAGAATTACTTTGGCAGGACACACAGGATTCTCACATTTACGGCTCCTTGAAGATGAGCTCACAATCTAAAATTACAAAACACTCAAGGAAACAATCCATCACAAGTGAGTCAGCCATCTGCAGACAGATGACGCTTCCAAGAATTTGATTTAAAAAAAAAAGAACTTAATAAAGTACAGTTGATCCTTGAACAACACAGGGGTTAGGGGCACTGACACTACTCCCCTCCCCCATCCCATGTTGTGCAGTTGAAAAACCCACATATAACTTTCGACTCCCCAAACACTTCACTAATAGTCTACTGGTGACTGGAAGCCTTACTGACAACATAAATAGTAGATTTACATATATTTTCCATGTTACATGTATTATACACTATATTCTCACAATAAAGCGAGCTAGAAAAAGAATGTTACTAAGAAAATCATAAGGAAGAGAAAATACATTTACATTACCATACTGTAAAAAAATTCACGTGGAAGTGGACCTGCGCAGTTCAAGCCTGTGTTATTCATGGGTCAACTATCTACTCAAAATGACTAATACCATAAAAAAAGGAATTTAATTTATAAGATACAATAATATGAAAGAATTGGTAGATTTCTAGAATGTGTCCAGAAATAAAAATTGCAGTCTTTAAAATTAATGAATGGATGGGTTAAAAAGAGGAATCAATAAAAATGAGGAGAAAATTTATGAACTGGACTAGAGACTGAAGAAAATTACCAGAAGGCAGAACAAAGAGTTGAGAGGAGAGGAAACCATGTGGATTTAAGAAACATGGAGGGTTGAAGGAAGATCCAATACAGGTCTAACAGGTGTTTGGGAATGGAAAAATAGAGAATGCAGTACAGAGCCAATATTAAAAGAAATCATGACTAAGAATTCAACAGAATTAAAACTAGGACTGTCAGATCAAAAATAACTGTGAACCATGAGAAGGATAAATAAGAGTAAGTCCACACTTAAACACATCATCATCACAGTGAAACGGAAGAACAAAGACTATAAAGGCAGTCAGGAAGAATGGAAAAATTCCCTATAAAGAAACTAGGTTCTTCACCCCAAGGTCAGAAGGCAGTGAGATAGTATCTTCATGGTGTTGAAGGAAGGAGCATAAAAACAAAAACTGTCTAGTGTAGAATGCAATGTACAAGAAATTATACTCAATGCCAAGGTACACCTCTGCTTCCAGAAAGTTGGAATAGAAGTACTTTTTCCTATTCTTCCTGCTCAGTACAACCTAAGACACTAGATATTATATATAAAGGAAACATATGGAGACTTTAAAAAGCGTAGCAAAGAAGGCAGACTGGCCAGGGACCTCGGGGCCTGAGAAAAGAAGACACAGGGGTGAGTTCTTTGGGTTTTCATTTCACCTCACATACCCCAGACTTGGAGCTGAACAAGCTGGCAACTGGAAATGGCAATGGGTGCAGATTTTAAAAAGCACCCACAGAAAGCTGCTCTGTCTAGCCCCAGGGCCAGGTAAGGGCAGCCTAGCAAGTGAGAAAACTTTTACACATCAACGGCTCTACTGCAGCCCAAACAGCACAGGAGAATCTGTGACCCCACCTCTACCCGTGCCAACAAAGGCTGAGTAACAGGGTGGGGTGGGGGGGCTGGATATCCCCCAGTGAGGCCTGAGAACCTCATTACAGCAGGGTGGTTTCTGAGAAGCCCAAGCACGGAGCTGAGACTCTCATCCCAGGTAGCTGGTTACAAGCTGCCCCAGCCCTCACCACAGTGTCATGGAGACCATGGTGGTGGTGATGTGGGAGCCGCAGAACGCTGGTGCTCTCAGCCCCACCCAGCAGTAACAAGGAGCACTCCCTCCACCTAGATGTCAATGGAAGCCGAGCATGGAATATACCCTTCTATCTCCACCTGGCAGTAACAAGACTGTGCCCAAGAGTGGTAACCAGTTAAATAAAAGATTTTAATAAAGATCTCAAGTCTCATAGCATAATATAAAAATGTTCAGGTTTCAAGTGAAAATCACTCATCATACTGAGAACCAGGAAGGTCTCAAACTGAAAGAAAAAAGATAATCAATAGATTCCAATGCCAAGATGACAGAAATGTCAAAAATGCATGACAAAAATTTTAAAGCAACTTAAAAAAAAATCTTCTAAAAGATTTTTAAATATAAAAATGTTTCAACAAGTAATATAAACATGCTTGAAACAAATGAAAAAAAATCCTTAGCGAAGAGAAAGTCTTATCAAAGAAATAAAAGATATAAAGAACCAAATGGTAAT